ATTATATATAATTATATAAACTCAAAATTTACTTAAGAATAAGAGTATGAAGGTTTATATATTTTTGTTTCCTATATTTATATATTTTTTACATATTTTCTCATCAGTTCAGCTTGAACCAAATTAACAATCTCCCTCAATCCAAGCTTTGTTGACTTGATTTTGGTTAGTCACCCAGTCATAACTTTTTCGTTATTTCGTTTTAATTCATAAGTTTTTAATCTTTATAAGTAATAAGTGTTAGAAAAAAATGATTTATTTTATTATGGTCGTCAAAATGCTCACATGGATTTTACATCAGTTAAAATTGTTTTTTTTTATTGAGCATGGAATTAATTATTTTTAAGTTAACACAATCTCCATTATTTTTGTCGAACTTTTTATATTAAAAAACTTATGCTAATCTAATTAGGAATTTTTCAAGCAATGTTAATTAAGAATAAGTCCACAAGTAAATAAAAAAACAGTCATCAACACATTAAAAATAACTTCATCAATTAATAGAAAACTTCTCACTAAAATAATTCCTTACAATATCATAACAAATTTTTTTACCAAATTGTAGATGGAAAAAACAACATAAAAAAATTGTAATTGTTGTAAGAACATGAGTTATTTATTTTAAAAATTAAATAACGCAAGGATGAGGATTTGCCGCTTCCGTTTTCTCAGCAGTTTTTCTTTTTCTTATTATCTTTATTCAAAATATTTTTCTCCATATAATAGTTCTTTCTGAAAAAAGTAAACGCAATTTTGAATGACATTTACTTACCGAAAATTATCATCATTAATGTTCACTGAAGTCTTCACTAAACACGTAACGTTAATTACTTACAAAAAGTTATATTATTTATTTTATTAATTCTGTAATTTAAAAGAAAAATGTCAAGCAGCTAATAATTTATCGGATAAAAAATTAAATAAAAGAGACTCGTTTATCCATAAAAGGAAAGCAATTATTTAAATTGGAAGGTTTGTTACATAGATTTTACACATTAAAAGAATTATTATTATAACCCAAACTCAACAAACTAAACTCACCAACCAAGTAGAAGTCTGACTTAATTAATGAAAAGAGTATTAAACTTCAGTATTTTATGTTTGCATTACGTCAACATTACTACTTCTTAATACGTATTTCCTTAAATGCCACATTGCAAGTTCCATATGATCCTTCTGTCCCTTTGATTTGCCACGTCGCCCTACGGACCACATTTCACAGGTAAATCTTGCCACACCAGATTACGCAGAAATATCATCTTACGGCTACCGTCGAAGCGTGCTCTTCACTCTCTACACACGCGCTTGAGAAAAGACACAGAGACACATTAATATCACACTCTCTTACCTTTTATATACTCCAAAGCCTGGTCCAGGACCAAGCACCAGTATTCCAGCAAAACACAAAGAGAGAGAGGAAGTAGAGAGAGAAAGTGTATTTTAGAGAGAGAAGCAAAAGAGTGTGTGTATTGTGTGTGGAGCTTCTTTCTCACATGGCCTCTATGCCGCTGGGGCCGCAGCAACAGCTTCAACCACCGCAAGTGGCAACTCCGCCGCAACAGCTGCCGCAGGCGGAGAATGACCCTATGCAAGTGGACTCTCGCGACGGCTCTGACGCCGCCTCCAANTTGAGTTGTAGGTCTTCTAAGTTCTATATGTTCAAGTGTTCATTCTTATTGTAGTTCATCTTTCACTCCATTCGGTCAAACGAAAGGTTATTTCTTTATCGCAAACCTATATTTATAGTTTGATATCTTATCTGTTAGGCTAGTCACGTGATGACAGTAAAGTTCATACAATATACAAGGAAATGACCATACAATCATACAATACATAATTTTTTTTATTTCAACATTTTACAAATAATAAATCATGAATTTAGTGTATGTAATTGTTATCTATTACATTATATAAAAGAATTCACCTTTAATTATATATTTCGTTTTACAATTTTACCTTTTAATAAATAACCATATTTTTAAAGTTAAAATAGTTAATTTATCAATTTCATTCTTTAAGTGACAATATTTTTGTCATTTTCTTTAAATTTAACCATTTTTTAAAAGTAAAATAACTTTGTAATTATAATTTTATTATTTTGTGTCATTATAAACAAAGTAAACACTTATGCAACAAGTATTTCTATCAATAATCATTAAAATTAATAAAGCAAAAATACATCCCGCATTATAACTAAATTAATAAATTGAACACATAATTAAAGGTGTAACGATTGATTAAATTAATGCCCAAAACTTAACATTTATATATTATTAAAATTGTTAATATTCATGAAAAGATTAGATACCAATTAATCATGAATGTTTGTAAGTATTTCTATTTTTTATTTTACTTATATCATTTATTTAAATGTAGAGAACTCAAATATACTTATTGGTAATAGGAGTTGGAACTTCAATTATAAAAAGCATATAAAGATATGATGATCCTTATCAAGATTTTACTTTTATACATATGCGCATGCATTTTCCTTTCATGTTACGCATTTCTTAATCTTCTAACTTTTCGAGTTTATGCCATTTCTGGTTTAATGACTTGCTGCATATCTCATCCACAATTGCAATGGAAACTATTATGTGGAGAGAAAGTTTGTTGTGTGAGATTATTTTCATTCCAAATTAACTACTGTGAAATTAATGTTTTGTGGTTTTCCTAAGTTTATATATATATATATATATATATATATATATATATACTGTTTGAAATGGGATGTTACATCTCCTAATTAATAATATTTTAAAAAATTATAAGAAGTTGATTTTAACATTAACAAATATATAGCTACTTTTTTTAATTTTAGGTTAATGAATGAAATTTTTTTAAATTAAAACTATCATAAATTGTTAATAGTATTTTAGTTTTTTCTTATCAATCTAAATATTTAGACATTAATGAAAAGAATGTGAGTTTTAATAATAATATTATATTAAAAAAACTAAGTTTAAAATAAAACAACTCTTTTAAGTAGTTTATAAGGTATTGGTCTTTATTCATTTATACACACAAGGCATTGTGTTATCTTCATTGGTAATTTTCATTCCTATAACATTATACTTCTAAATAAAAGAAAAATTAATATTTAATAACATTTCCTTGCGTTTTTTCATCGTAATATCATATTCTTCTAAAAAGAGTAAATGTATATTTAATAACATTTTTGTGTTATGTCTTTATATAGCCTTCGTATTTACTATTTCTGAATGATTTTTTCAGTCTGTTTTTCTTTGTGTGTACGTCATGATGTTATTATCTCCGTTCAACTTTTCACCCTTATATTATTGTTCTTCCCAAAAAGTAAACGTATATTTAACAACATTAATTACTCATAAAACTATGTATATTAATCCTATACTTTATACGTGTGATCTTTATCCAAAAATACTTCGTCATCTTCAATATTTTTCACCCTTTTACATCATTCTTCCAAAAAAATTAAACGCATTTTGAATATGTTAATTTCTTTCAGAAGATGTTTTCTCTCCTAATGTGTTTGGAAGAAATAATTTGTGATCTGTGAATTTAAAATGATCTGTGAAGAAAAGTTATGTTTGTTGAATAACGAATTTTAACTTTTATAAATTTATGAAAGCAAAATTTGATTATATATAATTATATAAACTCAAAATTTACTTAAGAATAAGAGTATGAAGGTTTATATATTTTTGTTTCCTATATTTATATATTTTTTACATATTTTCTCATCAGTTCAGCTTGAACCAAATTAACAATCTCCCTCAATCCAAGCTTTGTTGACTTGATTTTGGTTAGTCACCCAGTCATAACTTTTTCGTTATTTCTTTTTAATTCATAAGTTTTTAATCTTTATAAGTAATAAGTGTTAGAAAAAAATGATTTATTTTATTATGGTCGTCAAAATGCTCACATGGATTTTACATCAGTTAAAATTGTTTTTTTTTATTGAGCATGGAATTAATTATTTTTAAGTTAACACAATCTCCATTATTTTTGTCGAACTTTTTATATTAAAAAACTTATGCTAATCTAATTAGGAATTTTTCAAGCAATGTTAATTAAGAATAAGTCCACAAGTAAATAAAAAAACAGTCATCAACACATTAAAAATAACTTCATCAATTAATAGAAAACTTCTCACTAAAATAATTCCTTACAATATCATAACAAATTTTTTTACCAAATTGTAGATGGAAAAAACAACATAAAAAAATTGTAATTGTTGTAAGAACATGAGTTATTTATTTTAAAAATTAAATAACGCAAGGATGAGGATTTGCCGCTTCCGTTTTCTCAGCAGTTTTTCTTTTTCTTATTATCTTTATTCAAAATATTTTTCTCCATATAATAGTTCTTTCTGAAAAAAGTAAACGCAATTTTGAATGACATTTACTTACCGAAAATTATCATCATTAATGTTCACTGAAGTCTTCACTAAACACGTAACGTTAATTACTTACAAAAAGTTATATTATTTATTTTATTAATTCTGTAATTTAAAAGAAAAATGTCAAGCAGCTAATAATTTATCGGATAAAAAATTAAATAAAAGAGACTCGTTTATCCATAAAAGGAAAGCAATTATTTAAATTGGAAGGTTTGTTACATAGATTTTACACATTAAAAGAATTATTATTATAACCCAAACTCAACAAACTAAACTCACCAACCAAGTAGAAGTCTGACTTAATTAATGAAAAGAGTATTAAACTTCAGTATTTTATGTTTGCATTACGTCAACATTACTACTTCTTAATACGTATTTCCTTAAATGCCACATTGCAAGTTCCATATGATCCTTCTGTCCCTTTGATTTGCCACGTCGCCCTACGGACCACATTTCACAGGTAAATCTTGCCACACCAGATTACGCAGAAATATCATCTTACGGCTACCGTCGAAGCGTGCTCTTCACTCTCTACACACGCGCTTGAGAAAAGACACAGAGACACATTAATATCACACTCTCTTACCTTTTATATACTCCAAAGCCTGGTCCAGGACCAAGCACCAGTATTCCAGCAAAACACAAAGAGAGAGAGGAAGTAGAGAGAGAAAGTGTATTTTAGAGAGAGAAGCAAAAGAGTGTGTGTATTGTGTGTGGAGCTTCTTTCTCACATGGCCTCTATGCCGCTGGGGCCGCAGCAACAGCTTCAACCACCGCAAGTGGCAACTCCGCCGCAACAGCTGCCGCAGGCGGAGAATGACCCTATGCAAGTGGACTCTCGCGACGGCTCTGACGCCGCCTCCAATAAGGTAATTTCCGCTCTCGGCCATTTCCTCAGTGTGCGCAACGGCGCCGTTTATGGTCCTCGGATCGTCATTGATCCGCTGGACATGCCTCCGGACGAACGCAGCTTACTGCGATCTGCTCGTTTCCGGCATTGGTTTTGCTCGTTGGAGGTCGCCGGAATGTTTATAACGTTGCCTTCAAGGAATGGCTTTTACTTTGTTGGCTTATGGAATTGGAAATTTCGTAAGCATGAACATATTGTTCTTGCTATTGTTAATGTTTGGATTTTGCTGCGCTTTCATGGTTGAGCTGAGATCTTAGTGTTGAAAAATTGAAGTTTGAGGAGCTTTCGGTTTGGTGGTCCAGAAAAGAGAAACGGAATGGAGTGAAGTGAAAATGTGGAATCCTGTTCTTTAATAATTTGCGCTTTTTATTTCTTCAAACAAGAGAGAGAGAGAGAGAGAGAGAGAGAGAGAGGGAGAGAGAGAGAGAGAGAGTCTGACTAGGCACTTACCCGAACGTCAAGTTGGTTTACCTGAGTTTGTCATCCGACTCCTTGGTTTTTTTCACTTGCAGAGTTTTTTTTTTCAGACACTTAATGGGTTTGAATATATCACAATTTACCTCCCAATTTATTTTTTCATATTTTTCCTAATACAATCAAGGTTTTAAATTATTGATTTTCCTGTATTTCTTTATTATTGCAGTCAATGTGGCCACATTTTCGATTACAATCACTCCAGAAACCTTGAAGTTGCCGTTTAAAACCTTGAGGCTATTGATGTTATATTTTTGTTCAAAAAGGCCAGATTGCTTTCACTTAATCCATAATTTCCCGTGAAATTAAAATGGCTTTAACAATATCATGGATTCTTTTAAAGTTGGTTCTATATTACTTCCTGTATAGTTTTTCTATTAGATGTTGGGTTCCTTACTTAACATGGGGTTTCCTTGAGTTGCTGGTGGATTGTTGATCAAACGATTTATGTTTGCTTCAGGAAATAAGTGTTCTTAGATTCTCTCTCTGTCTTGTCTCATAAATTATATCAATGCATTTTGGCATTTGATGCTTTCTTGTGGACCTTGGTAACCTGATTGAACTTTGCCTGTGCACATACCTTATTACCTTTGAGCTCTTTACACTTTGCCTATCTTCAACTTCGCCCATTTGATTGGTGACGATCTATCCCTATCTATGTTTTTCTAGTATCATATAAAACTTTTAATCAACCACCATTGGTGTAGGTGTCCAAACCAGAGTATTGTCTGCTAAATTGCTGTTTATGTAAAATGTAAATATGTATATATGTCCACTGATGACTTTGTTGAGTCGGGCATAGATTGACTATAGTATGTCCGACCAACTTATACTTGTCTGTCCGTAGTCATATGAGGTTGGCATGTTAAATAGCTGTTTTTAACCTAATTATTGGTGATAATTGCTATTAAGACAATTACATTAAATAACTCCATAAGCAATTACGGATATTGTGTGAAGAAGAGTCTTCTATTCTATTTCTGTATTAAGAAATCTGATTTACCACATTAAATATTTTGTTTACTGGTGTAAATTGCAGGAAATGTCTGCTCCCGTCGCAGAGGGTAATGAGGCACATGGACTCACTGGTCACATAATATCAACCACAATTGGTGGCAAAAATGGTGAACCTAAACGAGTGCGGACATTCTAACCTTTTCATCTTCCAGATTTAATTTTTAAGAATTTCGTTTGTACTGAATATAAACTTGGTAAACCTTTCCCATAAGGATCCATCCAAAATTGTAATACCTTTTGTTAGCTAGAAGTTGGCATATTTCCTCCACTCGCATATTAATTTGTTTTGTTTTTTAAATTTAATTTTTATCTCCCCCTTCTATGAATGATTGTCTTTGGTTCTCATTCTTGGCCTTTAAAGGTACAGTTTTGAATAATTTGGAGTATTTTTTATATATATATATATATATATATATATCATGGTTAAATAAAATTGAATGCTTAAGATTTNCTCCTGCTGTCCGCACCGCCGCTCCTGGGATTTTGCTCCAGCGCCCACCGCTCCTGCAGTCCGCACCGCCAGCACCACCGCACGGTCAGCTACCCTTCTCTCTCTCTTCACCGCCGTGCAACAGGGTGACCTCCAAATTGTCACCACACTCTTAGAGGCCGACCCCTCTCTCTTCCACCAAACCACTCTCTACGATCGCCACTCTCCGCTTCATATTGCCGCAGCCAATGCCCAGATCGAGGTTCCTTCCCTTTTCCTCTCTCACTCTCTCCCGCGTTCTCTTCACGCAACTTCTCTTCTTTACGATTCTCTTCTCTTCCTTCCAGATTCTCTCTAGGCTTTTGGATGGATCTCTCAACCCAGATGTTTTGAATCGCCACAAACAGGTACTGCCTTCTGCTCTTTATCTATTCTTTCCCATTTTTATTTTTTTTTAAAAATGCTATCTTTGCTTACCCTTCATCGTCTGTCGTGAATGCTTCAGACTCCGCTTATGTTGGCAGCAAGGCACGGGAACATCGCGTGTGTCGAGAAGCTTCTTCAAGCCGGAGCTAATGTAATGTTTCGATTTCATTGATCTTATCCTCTGAATTATTGGGTTGTTTGATGTGAATTAATTATGAAGGTGATAACCCTCAGACCGTGAAGACAAGACTAAGGCAGTGGGCTCAGGTTGTTGGATGTGCAGTGCGTCAAAGAAGCTGTGTGATGAGATGATAATTGTTTATTCGAGTTGTTAAACCTAAACCATTGCAATAGAAGCTGTGTGTGATTGATATAAATGACAACCATTGCAATAGGCCCTCGGTAATTACCGAAGGCTTTTGACCCTCGGTAATTACCGAAGGCTTTAGGCCCTCGGTAATTACCGAAGGTCAAAAGCCCTCGGTAATTGTTAGCGACAAGGGATTTACCGAGGGCTGATTGGCCGTCGATAAGCCGTCTGTAAATGACATTTTCCGAGGGCTTTTGGCGTTTTCCGAGGGCTTTTGGCCTTCGGTAATGCTCTTTTTTTTTGTAGTGCTATAACATTATATTTCTAAATAAAAAAGAAATGAATATTTAATAATATTTCTTTGCGTTTTTTCGTCGTAATATCATATTCTTCTAAAAAGAATAAATGTATATTTAAGGGTTAAGTATGTTTTTAGTCCCTAAACTATCAAGTCCTTTTTTCAAAGTAAGGTATATTTTAGTCCTTTCATTTAACAAAAACGTTAATTTTTTATACTCTCGAAAAGACAAAAAATTAAAGTTTTTTTGAAGAAGGAAGAGTAAAATGTACCTTACTTTGAAATAGAAACAAATTCTCTTGATATTTTAGGAACTAAAAACATATTTAAACCTATATTAATAACATTTTTGTGTTATGTCTATATATAGCCTTCGTATTTACTATTTCCGAATGATTTTTTCAGTCTGTTTTTCTTTGTGTGTACGTCATGATGTTATTATCTCCGTTCAACTTTTCACCCTTATATTATTGTTCTTCCCAAAAAGTAAACGTATATTTAACAACATTAATTACTCATAAAACTATGTATATTAATCCTATACTTTATACGTGTGATCTTTATCCAAAAATACTTCGTCATCTTCAATATTTTTCACCCTTTTACATCATTCTTCCAAAAAAATTAAACGCATTTTGAATATGTTAATTTCTTTCAGAAGATGTTTTCTCTCCTAATGTGTTTGGAAGAAATAATTTGTGATCTGTGAATTTAAAATGATCTGTGAAGAAAAGTTATGTTTGTTGAATAACGAATTTTAACTTTTATAAATTTATGAAAGCAAAATTTGATTATATATAATTATATAAACTCAAAATTTACTTAAGAATAAGAGTATGAAGGTTTATATATTTTTGTTTCCTATATTTATATATTTTTTACATATTTTCTCATCAGTTCAGCTTGAACCAAATTAACAATCTCCCTCAATCCAAGCTTTGTTGACTTGATTTTGGTTAGTCACCCAGTCATAACTTTTTCGTTATTTCGTTTTAATTCATAAGTTTTTAATCTTTATAAGTAATAAGTGTTAGAAAAAAATGATTTATTTTATTATGGTCGTCAAAATGCTCACATGGATTTTACATCAGTTAAAATTGTTTTTTTTTATTGAGCATGGAATTAATTATTTTTAAGTTAACACAATCTCCATTATTTTTGTCGAACTTTTTATATTAAAAAACTTATGCTAATCTAATTAGGAATTTTTCAAGCAATGTTAATTAAGAATAAGTCCACAAGTAAATAAAAAAACAGTCATCAACACATTAAAAATAACTTCATCAATTAATAGAAAACTTCTCACTAAAATAATTCCTTACAATATCATAACAAATTTTTTTACCAAATTGTAGATGGAAAAAACAACATAAAAAAATTGTAATTGTTGTAAGAACATGAGTTATTTATTTTAAAAATTAAATAACGCAAGGATGAGGATTTGCCGCTTCCGTTTTCTCAGCAGTTTTTCTTTTTCTTATTATCTTTATTCAAAATATTTTTCTCCATATAATAGTTCTTTCTGAAAAAAGTAAACGCAATTTTGAATGACATTTACTTACCGAAAATTATCATCATTAATGTTCACTGAAGTCTTCACTAAACACGTAACGTTAATTACTTACAAAAATTTATATTATTTATTTTATTAATTCTGTAATTTAAAAGAAAAATGTCAAGCAGCTAATAATTTATCGGATAAAAAATTAAATAAAAGAGACTCGTTTATCCATAAAAGGAAAGCAATTATTTAAATTGGAAGGTTTGTTACATAGATTTTACACATTAAAAGAATTATTATTATAACCCAAACTCAACAAACTAAACTCACCAACCAAGTAGAAGTCTGACTTAATTAATGAAAAGAGTATTAAACTTCAGTATTTTATGTTTGCATTACGTCAACATTACTACTTCTTAATACGTATTTCCTTAAATGCCACATTGCAAGTTCCATATGATCCTTCTGTCCCTTTGATTTGCCACGTCGCCCTACGGACCACATTTCACAGGTAAATCTTGCCACACCAGATTACGCAGAAATATCATCTTACGGCTACCGTCGAAGCGTGCTCTTCACTCTCTACACACGCGCTTGAGAAAAGACACAGAGACACATTAATATCACACTCTCTTACCTTTTATATACTCCAAAGCCTGGTCCAGGACCAAGCACCAGTATTCCAGCAAAACACAAAGAGAGAGAGGAAGTAGAGAGAGAAAGTGTATTTTAGAGAGAGAAGCAAAAGAGTGTGTGTATTGTGTGTGGAGCTTCTTTCTCACATGGCCTCTATGCCGCTGGGGCCGCAGCAACAGCTTCAACCACCGCAAGTGGCAACTCCGCCGCAACAGCTGCCGCAGGCGGAGAATGACCCTATGCAAGTGGACTCTCGCGACGGCTCTGACGCCGCCTCCAATAAGGTAATTTCCGCTCTCGGCCATTTCCTCAGTGTGCGCAACGGCGCCGTTTATGGTCCTCGGATCGTCATTGATCCGCTGGACATGCCTCCGGACGAACGCAGCTTACTGCGATCTGCTCGTTTCCGGCATTGGTTTTGCTCGTTGGAGGTCGCCGGAATGTTTATAACGTTGCCTTCAAGGAATGGCTTTTACTTTGTTGGCTTATGGAATTGGAAATTTCGTAAGCATGGACATATTGTTCTTGCTATTGTTAATGTTTGGATTTTGCTGCGCTTTCATGGTTGAGCTGAGATCTTAGTGTTGAAAAATTGAAGTTTGAGGAGCTTTCGGTTTGGTGGTCCAGAAAAGAGAAACGGAATGGAGTGAAGTGAAAATGTGGAATCCTGTTCTTTAATAATTTGCGCTTTTTATTTCTTCAAACAAGAGAGAGAGAGAGAGAGAGAGAGAGAGAGAGGCGGAGAGAGAGAGAGAGAGTCTGACTAGGCACTTACCCGAACGTCAAGTTGGTTTACCTGAGTTTGTCATCCGACTCCTTGGTTTTTTTCACTTGCAGAGTTTTTTTTTTCAGACACTTAATGGGTTTGAATATATCACAATTTACCTCCCAATTTATTTTTTCATATTTTTCCTAATACAATCAAGGTTTTAAATTATTGATTTTCCTGTATTTCTTTATTATTGCAGTCAATGTGGCCACATTTTCGATTACAATCACTCCAGAAACCTTGAAGTTGCCGTTTAAAACCTTGAGGCTATTGATGTTATATTTTTGTTCAAAAAGGCCAGATTGCTTTCACTTAATCCATAATTTCCCGTGAAATTAAAATGGCTTTAACAATATCATGGATTCTTTTAAAGTTGGTTCTATATTACTTCCTGTATAGTTTTTCTATTAGATGTTGGGTTCCTTACTTAACATGGGGTTTCCTTGAGTTGCTGGTGGATTGTTGATCAAACGATTTATGTTTGCTTCAGGAAATAAGTGTTCTTAGATTCTCTCTCTGTCTTGTCTCATAAATTATATCAATGCATTTTGGCATTTGATGCTTTCTTGTGGACCTTGGTAACCTGATTGAACTTTGCCTGTGCACATACCTTATTACCTTTGAGCTCTTTACACTTTGCCTATCTTCAACTTCGCCCATTTGATTGGTGACGATCTATCCCTATCTATGTTTTTCTAGTATCATATAAAACTTTTAATCAACCACCATTGGTGTAGGTGTCCAAACCAGAGTATTGTCTGCTAAATTGCTGTTTATGTAAAATGTAAATATGTATATATGTCCACTGATGACTTTGTTGAGTCGGGCATAGATTGACTATAGTATGTCCGACCAACTTATACTTGTCTGTCCGTAGTCATATGAGGTTGGCATGTTAAATAGCTGTTTTTAACCTAATTATTGGTGATAATTGCTATTAAGACAATTACATTAAATAACTCCATAAGCAATTACGGATATTGTGTGAAGAAGAGTCTTCTATTCTATTTCTGTATTAAGAAATCTGATTTACCACATTAAATATTTTGTTTACTGGTGTAAATTGCAGGAAATGTCTGCTCCCGTCGCAGAGGGTAATGAGGCACATGGACTCACTGGTCACATAATATCAACCACAATTGGTGGCAAAAATGGTGAACCTAAACGAGTGCGGACATTCTAACCTTTTCATCTTCCAGATTTAATTTTTAAGAATTTCGTTTGTACTGAATATAAACTTGGTAAACCTTTCCCATAAGGATCCATCCAAAATTGTAATACCTTTTGTTAGCTAGAAGTTGGCATATTTCCTCCACTCGCATATTAATTTGTTTTGTTTTTTAAATTTAATTTTTATCTCCCCCTTCTATGAATGATTGTCTTTGGTTCTCATTCTTGGCCTTTAAAGGTACAGTTTTGAATAATTTGGAGTATTTTTTATATATATATATATATATATATATATATCATGGTTAAATAAAATTGAATGCTTAAGATTTACAATAACTTGCATGGGTTTCCATTTCTTTTATTCTTCATAATTTTGAGCTCTAATGGCACTTGCAGACTATCAGTTACATGGCCGAACGTGTTGTTGGCACTGGATCATTTGGAATTGTTTTTCAGGTAAGGATAAGTAAAGGAATATTAACCTTGAGGTGATTATGTTCCTTCTTTGATTTTCACGCTGTTAAGTAATCTCATATTGCTTCAAACTCTTGGGGACCTTAAACAAAGGCAAAGTGCTTGGAGACCGGGGAGGCAGTGGCCATAAAGAAGGTCTTGCAGGACAGGCGATACAAAAATCGGGAACTGCAGTTAATGCGCATGATGGATCACCCAAATGTAGTTTCCCTGAGGCACTGTTTCTTCTCTACAACAAGTCGAGATGAACTTTTTCTGAACTTGGTGATGGAATATGTCCCTGAGACGATCTTCCGTGTTATAAAGCACTACAGTAGTATAAACCAGAGAATTCCCCTGATCTATGTGAAATTATATACATATCAAGTATGAAATTTTTTTCTTTTTGCAGCTTGGTTTCATATGTTCTTGTTCCTTGCTTTTTCTTTGAAATTTTGTAATGTTTTGAGTGGGAATGTGATGTTTAGATCTTTAGGGGACTGGCATATATCCACACCGTACCAGGAGTCTGCCACAGGGATGTAAAGCCTCAAAACCTTTTGGTATGTTGTTCATTTACTATTTTTCCTTAATGATTTCATTCGTTTACTCTGAATCCAATGTCCATTTGTTCTGTAGGTGGATCCAGTCACACATCAAGTCAAGCTTTGCGATTTTGGGAGTGCAAAAGTTCTGGTATGTTGGTATTCTTCCTGTGCATTTTCATTAATTTAAAGATTTAGGCTACCAAGTCAATGCTGGATGTGGAATGTTGGTGCAATACCGTACGTACCTGGATCATACAATTCAAAAAGCTCTTTTAGGATTTGTTCACAAGTGGTGCAGTTTTAATTTTTTATGTTATAATTGACATTTACATAAAAATGTCCACTAACCACTTATGTTGCTATTAAACTGGATCCCAACTCATTAATTTTTCAATAAATAGAAGAAAGGGCATTGGTTGGCATCACATAATTTGATTACAGATATTTGGTCATACAAATTAAGGTATGATCTTAATAATGTATTTCTTGTCAGGTGAAGGGTGAATCAAACATCTCATACATATGTTCACGGTACTATCGTGCCCCAGAACTAATATTTGGTGCGACAGAGTACACAACTTCTATTGATATCTGGTCAGCTGGTTGTGTCCTTGCTGAACTTCTCCTGGGTCAGGTTGTTAAAATTTTAGGCATCTCGTACATAACAAGTTTTTTTAGTTAACTGATAATGTTATCTCGATTTGTTTAACTTTCAAAATATTTCTTTTAGCCTTTGTTCCCGGGAGAAAATCAGGTCGACCAACTTGTTGAAATTATCAAGGTGATGCGTTGTCTATACTGATGTTACCCTGAATTGTATGAATCAAGCTACAGAGATAACTATGGACGTGTTTTCTTGTAGGTTCTTGGCACTCCTACTCGAGAAGAAATTCGATGCATGAACCCTAATTATACAGATTTCAGATTCCCCCATATCAAAGCTCATCCTTGGCACAAGGTAATTGCGGTCCTTGTTACCTCTTCTGTTTATAATAACAGATTTTATGACAGCTTTTTATTTGGGGAACGTGCATTGACTCTTTTGGTGCAATCCATTGTTCAGGTTTTTCACAAGCGAATGCCTCCTGAAGCAATTGACCTTGCATCAAGGCTTCTCCAATATTCACCAAAACTTCGTTACAGTGCAGTAAGTAGGGAAAAACCTTATACCTCCTCCTCCATTGCCATCCTTTCAAGGCACATTTACCACAAAATCATATTAGCATATTGAAAGTCAAAACATCCAACTTTGATATGAAAACTATTTACACCAATATAGAAGTTCCTTTTGTTTGGCATGTTGTTAATTGGTACGATTGCAGTCAGTTTCTGCGATTGAAGTACTTTTGTGGCATGTTTCACAATATCATACGCATTATTCATACATTTTGAAGAAATATTTATAAAAGTAGCATAGTTTTGACTGGTGGCTTCTATTTTAAAGGTGGAAGCATTGGCACATCCTTTCTTTGACGAGCTTCGCGAGCCCAATGCTCGGCTACCAAATGGTCGTTCACTGCCTCCACTTTTTAACTTCAAACAGGAAGTATGTATCTAATTGGTTTCTTTTGCATGGTCTGCACCAATGATCAATACATGTTAATAATTTTGTGATGAACACTGAATGCAGTTAGATGGAGCTCCTCCTGAACTGCTTCCTAAGCTCATCCCGGAGCATGCCAGACGGCAAATCGGTTTTGGCTTGCCGGACACCCAAACTCAAATGTAAAGAGATAGTGAAACATAGAGTCAACCGTTGTAGTGATTAGCGTGAAATACATCAATAGAACAGGGGTCAGTTCCAAAATATGCAAAGTTTTAATCCCGTTGTGAATATATATATAT